TATACAAAACTGCCTTTGTCATTTGTCCACTTACAAACAGTATCAAATAAGTTAGGGCAAACAAGTAAGATAAAAGTCATACATTCTTATAGCATAGAGGGACGGTTGATGTTCTTGCCTGAAATCTATTTTGTTCAATAACTAACTGGATGATAATACTGTTTTTCTGAAAAGAGCCAGACAGTAAATATTTTCAACTTAATGAGCCCTAAGATTTCTGTCACGACTACTCAACTCTGACATTCTAGAATGAAAGCAGTCATAGACAATCTATTAGGCAACAGGCAAGCCAGTGCTACTTCTTTCAAGGCAGCAGATCAGATTTAGCTTACAGACTAACATCCACTGACTGCTTCCAACTAGAAAAGGTTCCATCATTATTCCATCTTTCAAAATAGGTGAAAATAATGAATAGCATTAAAATAATTCCTAAAACAGTGAAATAGTAAAATGTTTTGAGATGCAGAAATACTAAAATTCCATAATGTATGTTAATTTATAAAAGGGCCCAATATAATTTCAAGATCAAATAAATCTTACTGAAAATATAGTTCAGTTTTCCCTTAATTCTTGAGAAGACTCTGAAGAATAAGTCATGAAATTACAATTCCTAAAAATCAAACAAAAAAACCTAAAACAAAAAGGAATCTTAAGGCACTGATAGGGTCTAAGATGATATAAATTGAAAAAAGAAAACCTTCAGGGTATTTTGTTTTGATACCTCGGGTTTGTGATTAAGAACACAATGTAAAGCCCTCATAGGGGGAGCGTCAGCTTTAACTAGAAATTTGTTAAGAAATGCAAATTCTTGGGTTTCATCCCATATTATTGAATCAAGTATTTTAGATCAGGTAAAGACTAAAAAAGTCCAGTTTTAAAATGAGATTCTGATGCCAGTAATGTTTGCCTGACTGCACTAGTATTATGAAACATCTCTTCAAACCAAAGCTGGGCTTTAGAGTACCACACAAACAATGACAAACCAGTTTCTTAAGATTCAGAGTTCTAATGTCTGCTCTTTAGTACTGCATTTATGTGTTAAAAGGAGACTTTTGTGGGAGACCAGGAAGAAGTTCCTGGCTTCAGCCTGGTCCAGCCCTACCCTTTGTGGATGAACATTTGAACTGGCTGATTTCTATCTTTCCCTCTACCTGCTCCCCACCCCAAACCCCATAACTCTGCCTTTCAAATAAATCTTAAAAAAAAAAAAAAAAAAAAAAAAAAACAACTTTATGATTTTATGACCAATAATTTAGCTGCACACTGACAATTCTTGCTAAGAAACCATTACCTATGTTATCTCATAACATAAAAAATATATGTTGTCTTGAGTTTTAGTTTGGAAGGAAATAATTTTTAAAAAGGCATTACTGTGAACTATTAAACTAGCACTATTTCTTTCTCTTAAGTTTGTGTTTTTCTTTACATTAAATTTTTCTAATTGCAGGTTACACGTATGTATGTACTGTAGAAAATTAAAAAAAAAAATTTCCTGTTAACCAATAATTTCAAAACCCAGAGTAACACTGTGGTAGTATCCTTCCAGTCCTTTTTAGCTTTTGTTTTTCTCTTCTTTTTCTGTCTTAGTCACTGCTCTTTTGATAGTTTGAGTAGATAATACACACAACTTTACAGATTATGCTTAGAGATTAGGATAACATATTTGTGAATTTTAGATGAAATATTTGAGTTACTCCACCCAGCCACATTCAGCACTGTATCATCACTCTAAATAGAGTATGGTCTCAAATTATAAGGGCTCTCTCTCGCTCTCTGCTCTGCTCTCCTTTCCTCTTCCCCCTCTCGTCTCTCTTCTCTCCTCCCTAGCTCCTCTCCTCTCTTTCTCTTACACTCTCCTTCTCCTTTTTTTTTTTTTCTGACAGGCAGAGTTAGACAGTGAGAGAGAGACAGAGAGAAAGGTCTTCCTTTCCAGTTGGTTCACTCCCCAAATGGCTGCTACGGCCGGCGCACTGTGTGGATCTGAAGCCTGGTCTCCCATGCGGGTGCAGTGCCCAAGCACTTGGGTCATCCTCCACTGCCTTCCGGGGTCACAGAAGAGAGCTGGACTGGAAGAGGAGCAACCGGGACAGAATCCAGCACACCAACTGGGACTAGAACACTGGGTGCCGGTGCCGCAGGTGGAGGTTTAGCCAAGTGAGCAGCAGCGCTGGCCTCCTTCTCCTTCTCTTTCCTTCTTCACCCTTTCCCTCCGGTCTGCTGGGTTTTCCCCAGTAAACCCTTTCCCTTAAAAAAAAATTAAGGTTTACACACTAGCAAGTTTGGGGCTAAATGGTTAGCCTAATGGTTAAGACAGAGTACTCAGTTTCAGGTCCAGGCTCCAGATTCTAGTTTCCTTCTAATGCAGACCCTTGGAGGAAGCAGTGATGCTTTAAGTGATTAAGTAACCCCACCACCCATGAGAGAGATCTAGACTGAGTTTCTGGCTCCCAGCCCCAGTTATTGTGGACACTTGGGGGAATGAACCAGTGGAACAAAGCCTCCCCCCAACAACACACACCCCGTTTGTCTGTATCTCTAAATAAAAACAACAAAAAAATCCCAAACCCCAGCAATTCAAAGAATTCAATAATTTTTTCACAGTAAGAAAAAAACTGAGTGAGCTTTTCTCAACTGTGGCATTGTGACATAGCAGGTTAAGCTGCCACCTGCAATGCCAGCATCCCCAACAGCACTGATTCGATTGAGTCCCTGCTGCTACTTAGGCCCCTACGACCCAAGTGAGAGACCTGAATGAAGCTACTGGCTTCAAGCTGACCCAGCTGCAGCCATTTGCTGAGTGAACCAGACAGACCTAAGATCTGTTTGTTTTTTTTTTTAATAAATTTATTTATTTATTTATTTGAGAGGTAGTTACAGACAGTGAGAGGAAGAGACAGAGAGAAAGGTCTTCCCTCTGCTGATTCCCTCCCCAAATGGCTGCAATGGTCGGAGCTGCACGGATCCGAAGCCAGGAGCTTCTTCCCGGTCTCCCACACGGGTGCAGGGGACTTGGGACATCTACTGCTTTCCCAGGCCATAGCAGAGAGCCAGATTAGAAGAGGAGCAGACAGGACTAGAACCGGCACCCATATGGGATGCCAGCACTGCAGGCGGAGGATTAACCTACTGCGCCACAGTACCAGCCCTTCTCTCTGTTTCCCTCTCTATCTAATTCTTTCAAATAAATAAATCTAAAAAAACAACAACAAAAAACAAAAAACAAAAAAAAAAAAACCACCAAAACAGAAAGAGTAGTAAATGCTACCAATCTGGTCCTGGCCACAAAAAGGATTAAGTGAATGATAAACACCCACAATAAGGTTGAGAAGCTTCTTAAAAAAAAATGAAGGTGGGCTAGTGCTGTGGCATAGTGGGTAAGCCACATGCAATACCACCATCCCATATGGGCAAGGGTTCCAGTCCCTGCTACTCCACATTTGATCCAGCTCTCTGCTATGGCCTGGGAATGCAATAGATGGCTCAAGTCCTTGGGACCAAGTCCTTGGGACCCTGCACCCATATGGGAGATCTGGAGGAAGTTCTAGGCTCCTGGCTTTGGATCAGCCCAGCTCCAGCCTTTGAAGCTATTTGGGGAGTGAACCAGTGGGTGGAAGACCTCCCTCTGCCTCTGCCTCTCCACCTTTCAAACAAATAAACAAAGCTTTAAAAAACAAAATACAATGAAGAAATTCCAGTCTAATGTTATAATTCTGTATGGCCAGTGCCATATATATACAAATACAGTGCCATATATATACAAATATATAAAAAATACAAGCACTAAATATAATTTAATAACAAATGTCATAGATTAAGTATATTCTGCTAAAATTTTTATTTTTCGTATGTTCTTATTTCAGATTTACCTCAAATAAAAGATCATTTTATACTCATTGCTATATCCTGGAGGATATTAAAACCGTAGAAGAAAAACTGCAAAGCTGGAAACAGGATTTAGTTTGTAAAATGTGATAACCTGGAAAAATGTGACAGATGCAAAAGCCAATGTGCAGTGCAAAACAACTTAATGTTTGTTGTACATGATCAGTGTAATCAACTAGGCCTGTGGATAACCTTAAAAATAATGCCTGTAATGTGACTTTAACTAAATAAGGTTTATTATCTAAATTTCAAATTTAAATAATTTAAAGTAGGTGATGATTCACTGCATAATTATAAAAAAGCCTAAACCTAAAAGCTTACCTAGAGGTGGGAAAGGAAGAAAGGCCATGACTAACTCTTATTATATTCATTTTGATACTGAGCAGCCCTTCCTTCAGATAACAACTGCCACTAATTCTATTCAGAGATGTGAAATCTGGTATTTTCAAATAGGTTAGAATTCATGCCTAGTTCAAAAGTTTCTGTCATATCAAGAAATGCTAGTTCAACAAATGCTATTTTGTAACTTTGGCTGTTACTATGAAATAAAAACATATTGTTAAAATTAGTACCTAATGTACATTTTTCTCATGCAACAAGCTGAGAACACAGCTAAAGTTTCCATGTGATATCTAACACACTAACTTCTAACTTGAAGATTAGTTTCTTCTGCAAAACCAGGCAGACAATACATTGTGTCACTTTGAGCTCAGTAGCCTTGAAGAAGTAAACTGAAGCATTCAGAAGGGATTGAGGGAGCAAGTGGATTTCAAGGTTCAGAATCATAGAATGATCATATGATTTGATTATATAGTTTAACTGCCCTCCAATTTATGATAAAATCAAATGAACTGTAGCAAACAGGACTAAAATAGAGATACACATACATTTTCTCATGCCCATTATAAAATTACAGCAAATATGTAAGAAACATACTGCTTACATATATATGAATAGTCTGAAAACATCAAACATATGCAAATAGGAAATAAGAATGAACTGACTGCGCATGGTTTATATGTACACTAAGTATTATACATCAAATTTTATAGTTTAAACATGATCTGAACAAACAAAAATGAACTCAAAATCAAATTCATTGACAATTAAGTCCATACCTAACAGCCCAGTGTCTATGCCATCTTCATTTTTCAAATTCTCAGCATGCAACTCTGTAAATACAAAGAGGAAGATAGGTAGAAAAGTAAGATTATTTTATAATTTCAAGAGTGACTCCAAGGCTGAGCAGATGCTGTGGAGCTGTGGAATGTGCTCTGAACTGGGCTCAAATTCTGATACAATTATCTAGTGATGTGCTCTTCAGCAAGCAAAGAAAATCACTACAGGAGTCGGCTGCCATATAGGAAATGAGAGTAATGTTTATTCTCTAGGAATGTTGTAAAGACATTTCATGCAAAACAAACTAAAGGGCATGCTAAGTAGTGAGTTCAGGTCCTTTCTCTGTTCTCAAAGACAAGCAGAGTTCAATGTCTTCTACACAAACTTCCACTTACTGTGATTTTATGACTTCATGATACAAAGGCAATCACTTGGGACAAAAACTATCAGGGATCCAGTGGCAAAAAGGGAGAAGGGGAGTGGCTGAGAAATGAAACACTGGCAAACATTTAAAAGTGAGGGTTTACACCCAATGCCATTTGATGAAGTAAACCTCACACATGAACTTGCCAATCTGCCTTCTGTATTAAAATCAAACACTTTAAGCACTGAAGAGCCATCTGCAACATCCTAGGGCTGGAAGGTAATGGAGAAAAACTAAAACTGGAAAGAAATAGATTTATTCAGTGAAGTAAAGCTAACACTTGAGTGACAATGTACAGGATGCTTCCATACAACACTTTCTTGGTTTTTCTTTTTCATTAATTTAGCCATGATCACACCCGAGTGTGATCACACACTGAGATTTTAACTCTTCAATTTAACATACAATACTCGGAAAACCATACTCGGATAATACACCCGTCAGTTTAGGAAAAACTTTCAAGAAACACTTATTTTTATTCTAATCTGGCCAATATTTCAACTTCAGACATGGGAAAATAAAACTACAGAAAGAATAGCCTGTACCTCACGCAGAACTTTGCATGCTACACCTGGTTACAAACTTGATCTTGGAAAAAAGCTGAGACTATTTCACCTCCAAAAGTCGACCTTTGGGCTGTGGGATGGAAATCCTTGCCCTTCAGAAATTGAGTAATGCGAAGGGCTGGTGGACAACATATCTTCAGGCATTTGTGGATCAACGCCCTTCCATACTCATAGCCTATTTAATTACACGCACTTCCTGCTGTCTGCTAGGAGGTGTTGTGCAGTTCGCTTACATAACTGTGCCAGTGTTTTGCCTCACTTGTTCAACGACCTGGATACTTCTTTCCAAGTCATTTAATTGAGAGACCTCTTCTTAAAATGGGTCCCCCGATCGCAGACCAGGGACCTCCGCCCAGGCAGCGAGGACAAAGAGGAACGGGTACAGAAAGGTACAGACAGGGCTCTGGGGGAACGCGGCTGCCTGCCTGCCTGCCTGCCTGCTCTGGGGACGGCGGGGGCTGAGGGCTGGACGGAAGCGAGAGCCACACCCGGGCCCATCTGAACTCTGGGCAGACTCTTCGGCCCGGGCTGCGATACCTTTTACGACCAGGTAGACGATGGCGAGCAGAAAGGCGAGGAGGATGGCGAACAGCAGCGCACACAGAATAGAAAGGACCTGAACCGGCCACTGCCGAGCCGAGGTTCGGCTTCCCGCAGCAGCCGGGAAGATGCCGTTGCGCTTCTCCGGCAGCACCGGCGACCCATCTCCATCTGGCGGGAACAGAGAACCTCTCCTGGACTCCGACGACGGCCCAGCCGAGAACTCTGCCCGCAAGTCGCGGGCCACTTGGGTGCATCCCTCCTCGTCGTCGACTTCGCCCACACCCCAGCTGTCCCCCTGAGAGAAGGCGGAGTACTGCGGCGCCGCGAAGGGCACCGGCGTGCCGAGGCGGCGGCGGCGCGGCGCAGAACGCCTCCCGCTCTCCACAAAAGACATGGCGGGAAAGACGGCGAGAACCGCCGAGGTCCAACGTCTCTCACTGGCCCCGCCCCGCGACCGCAACAGCCAATCAGCGGCAGGGCCCCGCTGCGGCCTCCACCACCCGGCCAGGCGCGCAGGGGTGCGAGAGGGTGGGCGGCGGCGCCGAGAGGGAGCAGAGGGCTCGCCGGAGAGGCTGGGCGCCTCGCGGCCGCGGGCCGATTCCGGGACAGCAGGCGAGAGCGGGCGCAGGGAAGCGTGCAGGGACAGGCAAGCCGAGGCCCCAAATAGCCGAGTTGCCTCTCCCCAGCGTGCTTAGTCCCGGCCACCGGCGCGTCGCCACCCAGGCAAGCGCGTGCCCCAGCAGCCCCACAGTCAACACCGGGTCCTAAAGCTCGCCCAGGCCCTTCCGATACACATTCAAGAGCCTGCGTGCTTTTCCCCCTCTACGCTCACACTGCTCCCCAGTCTGCTCCTCCTAACCCGTCGCTTTGCCTCGGGAGTCCATCCCGCTCTCGGCGTGTTTCTCCCCACCCACAACTTCCCTCCCAGCGACTCGGCGCGCTCTGCGCCGCTGCAGGCAGAGCTCCCTTGCTCTGGACGCCTCTTCGCTAGCCCGTCCCTCCCCGCCCCTTCGCCTCCCACACAGCGCGCGCACTGGCGCGCATCCTGCCCCAGCTACCGCTAACGCTGGAAGCTGCTTACCCCGCCCCCACCCCACTCCACCCCACCCCACCCTACCCTCTTGGGGGCGGCCGCAGGTTTGTGGCGCGTACGTAACTCGGGCGGGGGAGATGGTGAAGGCGGCGGGCCCCAATACCCCACCCCTACGCAGTGAGGCTTTTGGAGCTCAGGGAAGATAGGGCACGGTAGTCTTCCTCCGCCGAAAGGAAGTTGGTAGAGTTTTCCAGTCAAAGGACTCGACGCGGAAACTTCCTCTTGTCCCTCCTCTTCCCCCCCTTCCCGTGCACGGGACGCCGAGTGAGGCTGAGGCTCAGAGCCAATCGCCGCAGAAGTGCGAGTCGGCGGCGCACTGCGATTGGACAGCGGAGAAGCCTGTCATTTTATTGGCCCCGCTGAGCCCGCCCCATAGCTCAGGGCATCCTTTAACCTTTGGCCCCAGCGGGCGCCAGCCACTCAGATCGCTTCTTGTTGGTATGTGTAGCGGCAGTGGCCGCCGGCCGAGCAGTCTGAGCCCGACGATGAGGCCGGGGACGGGAGCCGAGCGTGGAGGCCTCATGGTGAGTGAAATGGAGAACCAACCTCCCTCGCGGGGTCCTGGGGACGGGGAGCCGAGATTGTCCGGCTCCAACCTCTGCTCCAGCTCTTGGGTTTCCGCTGACGGCTTCCTGAGGAGACGGCCCTCGGTAAGGGATCGGTGGTGTAGGGGGAAAGCGGCACAATGAAAAACGGAGGCAGACAGGAAGCGTACTCCGAAAGGAGAAGAGTGGAGTGGACGAAGGAAGAACTCCAGATGGTGGGCTATGTCCCGAGGGAGAGAGACGCAGGGCAGGGCTGCACAAAGAGAAGTATGTGGGACCTTTGAAGTTCCCAGTGGGCTTGGCCTAGACAGATGCGCGGTGAAGGTGCTGGCAGGCCTTGGGCGGGGCGAGCGTCTCGGAGCCGAAGGCCTGGTTTAGCAGAGGCTTGATGTCGCTAAGACTGCAAGAAGCTGATTTGTTTGCACGCGTAGTGGTGGTGGTCTGCGGCGGGAGGAGGGGGTCTCTGGGATAATTGGCTGGGGAGAATTCCCTGGTTTAAAAGCCAGGAACAATGGACACATAGGAAGAAAGTAGTGCGTTAAATGCGCAGTGAAATAGTTGACTTGGTTGTTTGCATTTAGTGTCTGTGAGTGACAGAAACTTAAGTTTTCGGAGATGTGTTTTCGGGAGAGGAACTTTTACCTGTGCTGAAGCTTAGGTTAGGAAATAGTATGTTAGGCATGAAGTGGCTCTGACAACCCATCCTGTGCATTCTGTTAAGACAGGTTTGCCTCGAAGTGAATTTGACAAATTCAAAGTCTTTGAAGTGTCAAATTAGTGGCATTGTAAAATGACAGCTGGCTTTTTTTTTTTATATCTATGTAAAACAGGATAAAGATGTGATTTTTTTGACCATAACTTTCTAAGTAAGCATTGAATATGTATTTTCCAAAACCAGCAAGCAATTCGGTAGATGATTGAATCAGTGCTTAGTGAAGGGGGGTGGGGGGACCAAGCTGATTCAACCCTCCAGGATCATTTTTCACCTTTTCCACATTGTTATGGAATGTGCAAGTTCATTATACTACAGTCATGCATCCCACAGTAGCCTAATATAGGCCACTACAGGTAAGAGATTTCTTGAAATGAGATTGCTGAGATGCTTATTAACTTGGTAATTTTCAAATGCTCATTATTTTTCAGATGGGGCACCCTGGCATGCATTATGCCCCAATGGGAATGCACCCTATGGGTCAGAGAGCAAATATGCCTCCTGTACCTCATGGAATGATGCCACAAATGATGCCCCCTATGGGAGGGCCACCAATGGGACAAGTAAGAACGTTATGTTTTTGTTTTGTTTCCTATTTGTTGGTGCTTTTTTGCCTCAGGTATTGTGTCGACATTTTAGAATTTTAAATCAGTGCCGTACTTGTAGCTGGTTGAGGATTAATTTATGCCCAGATAAAGTTTTCAGATAAAAATGTTGCATCAAGACTGTAATCAAATTTTGAATGTAATGAAAAAGTATTCTGTATCAAAAAATTACTACCTCAACAAAATTTAAGAGTTTTTTTTCCTAAGTAACTGTGTATCTAGGCTTTTTATTTAATGTCCTTTTCTCTCTTGAGCATGTCAATTGGAGTTAACTTTTTAAGAGTAAATATTGTATGAAATGTCAACATAACTTATTTCAATGGACTATGTAAGTGTATAGACTCTGAAAATAGCGATTGTTTAGGCCTTTGACTTGGAATGAATTTTACTGCTTAATATCTTCTCCTTTGTCTGTTGTGGGGTGGTGAGGGAGGGTTGGGAAATTTGCTCTGTAATTCTGATTCTTCATAGAGCAGTGTCAGGTAGTTCGTTTTCAACTTATACTGTTTTTGGTTTTTAAAAAAATGCTTTTTGCTTCTGCACTCCTACTTTTGAGCTGTCCCTTCCATCTCTAACATAAATTGTAAATGGATTGTTTTGTAGGAGTGATTTAGAGCAAAAGGTTTATGCTGACTCAGCAGCATCCGTAGACCTAAGTTAGTTAGCTTGATTTAGTAGAACTAAGTTTCTAGAGAAGCATCCAATAAAGGTAACAGGTTTAGTTACCATGAATAATTTTGTGCTTTATGTTATTAGGTTCTTTAATACACACTCTTTAGGTTGTTGGGTCATTTCTATTTGAGTATCTCAGTAAATCAGCAACAGCTTAGGCTAACAAGAGTATTTTGGAAAGCCAGTAGGTATGATCTTTTGTTGATTAGTATTATTTGATATGTAAGTATTTAAGCCTTGATGGTTAGAGTTATTGGTGAAACTGCAGTGAAAAAAGGAGCATGTTATGTGTCTCTCTCTTTTTACTTAACCTTACAAGGAGAAGGGCTCAATATCAAGTGGTTTTCTTCTTTTTTATTTGGAATATAGCCCTAAATTTTGTGTAAAAATCTTTATTCATAGGCACCAGATCCAAAAGATTCTGCCAGCAGGAGTTCTTTAAATAAGACTCTTTTATTCTGTTACTCTAGAATAACACAGGTTTTAACACTCCCTAGGTGATGCAGAAACAACTCTGATTCCTCTTCTGTTTCTTTCCATCTCTAAGCAGCAAAGAGCTCTTCTTGTTTTCTTGGTAGAGCTGCTCTAACTAGATAATGAGCTTTAAAAAATATTTTATTCTTTAAATGCTCTGGTTCTTATTTAAAATTAGTTTCTTTCCACAGAAAGATAAAATAAAACAATTTGCTACTGCCAGATGCTTCTCTCTTTTCTGGGGCCTTCTGTTTCCATTGGGCCAGTCAAGGTAAGTTTTGCAAGGGATTGACCTGCTTACCCTTGCTGTAATGGTGCTGTTGCAGTACCAAAACCAAAACACAAGCTAGCATTTTCCAGGTTCTAGTAAAATGCAAATTTTGTTTTTTAAAAGTACTTTTGTGTATCTCATTGACATAAGCTGGTCACAGTTTGCTTTATGGCCCTATCTCTAGCTGTATCAATGACCATCTTCCTTATAGGTTTTACTTGATACTTCGTACACATCCATTCAGATACTCAGAATTTTGCCTTGTAGTTTCTTCTACTTTTTTCCTAGGTCAATATATGCCATGTGACTTTAAATATACCTGATTATTTGTATGTTAGATTTCTTTTCCCACTGTTGTTGGCTCCTGGTAGGGTAATGAATGGATGTTTTAGGAGGGACCTAAGAGAATCCTGTTGTTCTTTTCAGTTAAATCATTTCTTTTTTTCTCCATAATACGTAACAAATGTGGGCCCCAAATCTTGATAAAGCTAATTCTTATTAGCGTAACAGAAAGGGAGAGCATGGATAATTTTGAATCCTCAGATAATTCAGAAATCTTATTTAAAGCACAAATAGAACAAAACATTAGCAAAATTGATCCTTTTTCTGCATCATTTCTTCTGTCCTCACAACTCACAGAAGTGTTAATGAACAGTGTCAGAAGATAATTGACAAGAAGTGGTGTTCTGGTATCGTTCACAGCAGTGATAGTTGGTAGGGTTCTGCCATCCAGTTTTTAAGGTAATTCACAAAATCTTTAGCCTTTGGGACTGGAGGTTATGTAACCTTCCTGTATAGTTGACCCTCTCTATCTGTAGGTTCCGCATCCAACCACGGGCTGAGAACATTCGGGGAAAAATTGTTTCTGTACTGAACATGTACAGATTTTTTTCTTGCCATTATTCTCTGAGCAATATAGTGTAACACCTTTATGCATAGCTCTTATTTATATCATAGAAAGTATTTTGCCATTTATAAGCAACTTGAGCATCCATGAATTTTGGTATCTGCAAGGGATCGTGTAATCAGTCTCCTATGGAAACCAAGAGATGATGACTGTATTAACTGCTTCTCATTAAGATGTCATGCTGGAACCAGTAGACAATTACCATTGATGGCAGTTTTATTTGCTAAACGTTTGTGATCTTTGGAATGTTACTGAATATGACATGAAATTTAAAAAATTACTTGTAAACTAACATGCAGACTTAATAGGAAGGATCTAGGAAAGCCAGAATTTTGTAATTTTGTAACTTTTAAAATGCAACAAGTTATTTAGCTTGCAGAAATCTTCTTTGTTTGTTTAATTCATGATAACTTTGAGAATTCAGACATTTTTATAGTTGAAACTGAATCTCTTAATAAGAGTAAATATTTGTAAGTCATCAAATAGGGCTTTATAATATTTTTTAGGTTTATCTTAGTTATCTATCCTATTGGTCAAGTTTGCCTCTTATTGTAAATAATTTAATGGGAAAGTCATGCTTCCAGTTTTATAGGAGTATAGGATCTTATCGCTGGGAGAGACCTTACATGTTGTAAAAAGTTTAAATAGTGGTTTTGGAGGGATCATTGTTTTACCAAAAAAAATTTTTTTCTACTGCCTAGTGACAATACTGAAAATTTCTGGTAGAAATTCCTATCCAATATAATTATGTGTGAGGGTGTCTTCTTCCTCCATCTATAGTAAGTAATGTTTGCCATCGAAGT